ATTTTATTTGAATTTGTGAATGTTTTTCTTTTAATGTCTATCTCAATATTTAACATTTGATATACAACTAAATCTATAAATTTAAGGATACCTACAGGACGGATGTCTCAATATTGCATGAGAAAAAAATCAAAATATTTAATTAGCGCAGATATTCGCTGCGATAAATTAAGAGAGCTTGCTTGGGAGGTAACTTAATTTATTTTTACAGCCAAAACTCCGTGGTCTAAACCAACATTTGTTTTCATTATTTAACAAACACCATAATAAATTTTCCTTAACCACACTCACAGCTTTTATGCGGAAATCCCATCTTAATTCTACAAACCTTGTTGTACACAAAGTCTATTTAAAAATAAATAAATAAATATGATATATAAATGGCGCAAATAAAGTATTACCAAAACATATTTTACTTAAGCTGTGGTGTGTAAAGGGATTATTACATGGGGAATACCAGAAAAATCTTACGACTTCTGAAAGACGGCAGTAAAACCATTATTATTCGCTTTTCTGTATGTTATAGCTATCGGATGTTCGCCACACGCCTTTTTATGGGAGGCTCATATTCTACATAAGCGGCGATTGATATGAGTACACCTTTAATATTATTCTTGTGTTTTAATTATTTTACTGGTAGTGGCATTTTACTTTGGTGGCACATAATTAGAAGAATCAGTTTTATGTAACAATCTTATTACATACACGTGGATTTTGAAATAAATGAAACATTTGTGAGTGAAAGGTAAAGGATATCTCCCGATATCGGATAGATCCCGTGTTCGGCGCGAGAAGCAGTAAATGTGCAATGTTACTACAGAGCTTATCCTGTTTATATAGAATATCAGATTAAATAAGTATTTTTTATCAAATCATTCACCATACTATAAACGTAAAACGTAGAAATTGTACAACTCTCCGACAGCAGCGTATAACAATCAAATGACAAATGGAACATTCGTAGTTTACAGGTGGTAAAATAAAAAAAAATAGTTAAACCGGCTTCAATACGCATATAAATAAAATGAGAATATCATCAATATGCTAGAAGTCAATTTTTATGGGATTAGGGTGACAAACAAGAACACAGTCCACCTGATGGTAAGTGGTTGCTGTGGCCCATAGACATCTACATCTATCCTCGATTGCGAATCAAAATGCAGATGCGTTGTCACCCGCGAAGACTAAGATAGAATGCCACTTTTGCTGTAAAACGAGGCTCCAGTTCTCTATACTCACCATACGAAACACAGCAGCGTTGTGCCGCTATTTTACGCCGGTATTCTGTGAGAGCGTGGTTCTCCCCGGTCGAGCCAATTTGTGCTACAAAGATACTACTAGTATAACTGCAGCATGACTATACCACGTAAAAATTTATACCTTTAATTTTTATAAAATTAAAGATAAGATGGTAAAATTATTAAATTATTATAATATTACCAATATTAGGGATAACTCAGGAATGATTATTGATCAAATTTATATGGGAACACACAAAAGAACCAGTTATCAAATAAAAAGGGATCATCAAAATCGGTTCACCTGGAAAAAAGTTCACACACAAAAACAAAACATACAGTCGAATTTAGTACCTCCTCCTTTTTAAAGTCAAAAATCAAAATCAAACACTCTTTTACTTTCATAACCTCATGGTAATCCTCTCTGCAACGGGAGAGGCTTTGGTCCAACACTGTACTTCTTGTACGAGCTCAAAAAGAAGAATCGTAATAAAATCTAGTGGATGTCATTATTCATGCAAAAATTTAGTTTGTACTCTGTTTGATCGACCATTAATCTGACGATTAGGCTTACCGTTGATGGTTTTCCGATTCTATTAACCGCGATGGAATAACCGCTTGATTAAACGAAGCGATGGAGGAAAACGAATACTTAACGTCGAACAAATCATATTTCCGTGAAAGTGAATGGTGCAAGACCTAGTAAAAATTTATAGTTGAATATTAGATATTAAAAAATATTTACGGTCAAATTTTCCATCTACTCAAATACTCTTAAATAAATTTGTAGGAATGTGAACATTAAAACGCATTCGAACAACGACTGTGTTCGATTCTCGATTTATTATTACAGAATTAAACAATTCTATTTAATGGTGCCGTTAAATGTAACATAATTCACACTAAAAGGAGTATTTTTTATAGAATAATAACTTGTAAAAACAACAATGTAGATCACAGACATCTACATCTACGAGTATATTGAATTAAGAATTAAAATGCAGATGTGTTGTCACCCGTTGACTAAGATGTAATGTCTCGTATTCAGTAAAAAGGGTATGCGGTCCCCTACACTCACCGTAAGAAACACAGCAGTATTAAGCTGCTATTTACATTAGTATTCTGTAAGAGCGTGGTCCTTCCTTGATCGAGCCGACCCATTTGTGCTACAACTGTAATATTATATAGTTGCAGGTATGACGACTATGTTAACAAGATTCTTACAAACATATTGTTATAATTCTTTATATAGATAATTATTGATACATTTCTTAGTAATCGTGTAACTTCTTAACTATTTGACCTATTGACGTCATATTCGCAGTTCACGCAAAATATTTGTTTTAACCAGCCGATACGATATGTGACGCTACAAATCGGTTATTAATACATATTCTATATTAGGACCAAAATTGCTCATGTTCACAATTAAATATGTTGTTTTAATGCCAAAAAAGAAAAACACAAAACCAGAAATCGATAGGTAGTGACGTGGTCGAATTATTAATAAAATGTATATTTACACTGTAAATTATTTCAATTATTATCATTTCTCCAAGAAAAAAGTTTGTGAAAGACTGACAGACGCACTGACAGGCAACGAGGTGATCCCCAATTTCGACATGAAACACAAAAAATGTAGGTAAAGCGAAGTCCAGCGAGCATAGCCGCTAAGAAAAAGCTAACTTTCTTTTGAAATATTTAGCTTTATGTACTTTTATTTAACATATCAACTATTCATACGGTGTAGATTAAGACAAAATATAAAAAATTATAAAGTTAACCTTAATTACGCTTAACGATTGTTAAGCGTAATTAAGGGTAACTTTAATTGAATGAAGTAGTCTGATAATATGAATTATCAGATTACTTCATTCAATTAATGCAGACCGGCCTTTTGTTAATTTCAGCAGTGGATATGCAACAGAAAATTTTGGCTAATATTCTTTACTAGCTGTTACCTGCGGCTTCGCCCGCATGGTCACTGGGAAATGAACTATCCATTGCTTTTTGAATTGAAAGAAAACTGAGTTTTATAGATTTGTCAGTAATTATCTAGCCGAGGAAGAATCGCCGATCTGCAACTTTAAGGACCCCTTTTCCCAAATTAATGTTTCTAAATCGTGTTGTTTTCAAAGAAATCATCATATTTAAAATCCTAAAAAAATATATAGTACAGATAAACGTTTGATCTAGTGACTTTTTTGGATAAAAACACAATATTAAACATTTAACTCGATAAAAAAAATCAGAAGTAACATCGATTTTGAAAGCATTTTCAGTTTTATGAGAATTAGGGGAACGCTATATTTATGAAAATTTTACATTTCATTTACTAATCAGGTTTGACAGGGATATTATTGGATAGATTTATAATTTGGCACTTATTTTTTCTATATAAAATAAAATACGTAAAAAGCGACTCGCGCGCACCACGCCAGTGCCGCCAGTATCCAGCCGGACGTCATCGAGGGAGGACTTGTGCTATTTTTGCTCGCGACTACGTTGTCGTCGCCGCTCGCGTAGTAATACCTACCTACTAGCATAAAAACTTGTTGTATTATATGTAATATAATAGAAATTAGTTTAAAAAGACAATACTCGTATGTAAGTATACTGACCTATGTTTTTTAAACAGTGTTTGTAAATAAATATTTTTTGTAAGTTGTGATTTAATTAAAATGGCGAATAAAAATACAAAATTAGGAAAAAAAGCCTACCTAAAGTGAAGAAGATCCGAAAGTGTATTGCGTAAGCACTTAATAGGTTCCTATAACCTAGCCCTAGCGTAACATCAACAGGTCATTTACAATAAAAAAATACATATTGGAATAATTAGATATCTACTTTAACAGGGACATAGACTAGCTAAATCAGTATGACAATTTTTATTTTCGTTTTCTAATGTTCCACTATTTAGTGGGTGGATTCGTCACAATATAATTCACTGTAATCTAGCTTAGCTTAGCTAGATTACAGTGAATTATATTGTGACGACAGACTAGCGAACACAGACTAGCGAAGTCAGTATGACAAGAATTTTAAATCCTATAGTAAAATTCACCTATATTTTTGCATACCTACTAACTCTAGTAATTCATTTTTTTTGCTTTTTGAAATTTTGTAAATTTATTTATTCCATTCCAGTGCTCTGAGATCTCGTACCGATAAAGGTACTTTGATGTCCAAAAAAAGTACCGATGGGCACTCCAAGGAGAGGCAGTATGCGTAAGTACATTATATACATATTACACAGTATACTAGGGAGGAACAGTTTTACCTATTATTATTATTTGTACTTATGCACATACCACGGGCCAAATTCCTCGGATCACCAGGGTCGATCTCCAAGGCCCTTGGCAATCTAAATGGGATGCTAGGGTTTCTTGAAGAGATAGGTTGGCTCGAGTAGTGAGCCCCCACCGATCACACAAAATAGGCGCTTTTGACGTAGAGTTGTGGAAACCAGCCCGTTTTACCATTACCATGACCACCAAGCGTATGTCTGGGATTCACGATTCAGGAAGTAGGCATTTATGGTAAAACTGTATTAATTTGAACTCCATCTTCGATTTCCAAAATACGTCAACTTTTCAATTATTTCGATATGGACTGGCTCTTTTTCTCCGACCTAATACTAAGTAGACATTGCCGTCGTCTTGCTACATGTAATTGTCCCTGAATTGGTACAACCAATTACTAATTTTATTGCGATGCAATGTTTTGATACTTGCTTGAACATGATGAATCTCTGTTGCTACCATGCCTGTGGTAGCTGCTATATTTACATTAACATTTGAGTCAGTATTTTCCGAATGTATTAGGCATGTTTGTTTACAAATATAAATCCCTTTCATTAATGACTTTCCATTGTTACAGGAAAACTAGAAATGACGAAGATGATCCCCTTGTTGTTGAAGCTAAAAATCAAGAAGACAAGTTTCAACAGACAACTAGAAAAGACGAAGATGATTCCCTCGTCGTTGAAGATAAAAATCAAGAAGACAAGTTACAAAAGACAACTGGAACAGACGAAGATGATGATTCCCTTATTGTTGAATTTGGAATTCAAGAATAGAAGTTCCCACCAGTGGCAGGAAGACGCATTTGTGATATTAATTATATATTTAGTCAATTACAAGAAAAAGCACGTCACAACAACTTGTTTGACTGCAAAGCTGGAAATTTTCAGCTAATCGGTGAAAAAAGGGTTTGCTTACTTTCAGTATATAAATTTGAATGCAATATTTGTAAACAAATTTGCCTTATAAAATCGGAAAATACTGACTCAAATGTTAATGTGAAAATCGCAGCTACCACTGGCATGGTCGCAACAGGGATCGGCTTCTCACAATTCGAAGAGCTTTTTTCTGCAATGAATATTCCTGTATTTCTACAAAATATTACAATCAACTCCAGGATCAAGTGTACGAATGTTGTGAACAAACAGCAGCCGGATCAATGCAAGATGCTGCAGAAAAAGAAAAAAATTGGCAGAAGGTCGCACCAAAAATGGCATACCGGTAATTGACGTTTTCGTCGATCCTTCTTGGTGTGCTAGATCGTACGGATCAAATTATAAAGCTGCTTCTGGAACTGCGGCAACTATCGGTAGAAGAACGGGTAAAATAATTTTTCTGGCTGTAAAAAATAAATACTGCCTCGTGTGCGCCTGTGCAGAAAACAAAAATGTCGCTCCTATGGAGCACAATTGTTTCAAAAACTTCGATGGTTCATCGTGTTCTATGGAGGGTCGAATAATTGCCGAGGGGTTCAAACTATCCATTTCCATGTATGGCATAATTTATAAAAGAATGATTGCAGACGGAGACGCCTCGACATACGCAAAAGTGCTGAAAGAAAATCCATATAAAGACCAAAATATTACGGTGGAAAAATTGAGTGTCGAAATCGTATTTTGAGAAATCTATGCAAAAAATTACGTAGTCTGGTTTCAGAAACAAAATACCCTTTGGCTCACCGAAAAACTTTGACAGTTGTGAAAATTATGTCCATGAGGAAAGCAATAGTAAGGTCAGTTATACACCATAACAAAAATCGAAAGGACAATGCTATAACTATTCTTCACAGTAATATAATCAATTCTGTGGCGCATGCATACGGCGATCACAGAATGTGCCAGGATTATAACTGTGACAAAGAAAAAGTTTATAGCGACGGGCTGAAAACCATTCAAAATTCAACATTTCTGTTCCGGAAGAATTCGATTATTTCTAATGTGGCAGCAAAATCACGAAATTTAATAGAAAACGTGAATACCAATCTTGTCGAATGTTTCAACAATGTCATTGCGAAGTTTATAGGAGGAAAGCGAATAAATTTTTCCTTGAAACGAGGGTACCAAGGGAAGTGTAATGCTGCAGTTGTAAAATTTAATGAAAAGTCAGCCATATCGCATGTGCAAAACACATTAACAAATAAAAATCGACCCGAAATGGGATTAACTGTAGTTGTGGAAAAGAAAAGGGAAGAAGCTCAGAAAAGAAAAAACAACTCAGAACGTCCAGTTAGAAAGAAAATCAGGAAATTGACAGACGTGAAACAAAAACAAAATGACTATGGCCCCGCCAGTTTAGATCCGGATATGACCCAGTCTGAACTAGAAGTAGCTAAAGAACAATTTCTAAAAAATTTAGAAACTCTTACTGCTGACAAGGACGCAATTGAGCGTAATACAATATTACAAAGAGACAGTAGCGAATTGTTAGAAATTCGAAAAAAATCTTATTACTGCCACTAATTATATATATATAACGCGAACGCAACGCGAACGGACGTGTTTTATTGGACGGGCGAAATAAGTTGGAAATACAAATCAGGGAAGTCACCCTGAATGAGTATAAACCTAGAGGGATAGTTGGGAAACACCGATTCTAAGCTACGGGATAATGGATAAAACAGCAACATCCACGGATTACGTCAACACCGAGCGCGGTAGCCGAAACCCAAATGTCTCATACAAGGTTGTTAAAGAAGACAGGATTATGGAAGTGATTGGGGAGCTTCGCTTAGAAATGAAAGCTCTCATGGAAAATCAGCTTAAGGAATATGAGATACTAAGAAATAGATTTATAAATACTGAGACAGAATTAAAAGAATTAAGAAAAGAAATGAAGGTACTTCAAGGAAAAGTAGATAAAGTACAAATATTGGAAGCGAAAGTAGATAGTATAGTAAGAAATGATGAAAAATTAGTGAGCAATATGATTAGGGTAAGTCCAACAACTGATAAAAATGAGGAAGCTTATTTACAAAAAGGAACTCCTCAATCATTTGCAGCGGCAGCGAACCGAAACCAAAACCGGGTACTTAAAAATAAGTTCCCAACGAAGCAAGCGAGTGTGGCCACGAAACCATCAGACAAATCGACTTCCGTAATTAGCTCAATTGTGAAGGAGATACCCGAACCAAAGCAAGTAAGAAATAATTCTGAGCAAATAACCGAAACTGAGGATATAGAATCTCAAAAGGAAGGAAACTGGATAATAGTAAATAAAAAGAAGAAAAGCAGATACCCTAATACTGAGGTAAAAAAAGGCGGAAGCACGAGTGCAGTAGAAATCAAGGGGACTGAACGGAAGAAATTTTTACATGTGTGGCGTCTCCATAAAGAAACCACGGTTGAAAACTTAGAAAAATACGTGAAGAATATATGCGGAGAGGAAGTACCAGTCACAGTGGAAAGAATCAGGCATAAGACGGAAAGGGATTATTCTTCCTTTATTATTGGTGTACCTGAAAGCAGTTATGACATTTTATATCAATCGGACAATTGGGCTGTAAACATCGAATTCAGTGAATGGGTATGGTTTCGTAGAACAACCAAAAAAACACTCAATAAATAGCACAGCTATTGAAATTTACTACCAAAACGTGAGAGGTTTACGTACGAAATTAGAGGACTTTTATGTAGGCGTCTCATCTTCAGGAGCAGATCTATTTGCCATTACTGAGACAGGTTGTAACAAATCCATTCACGACGCAGAACTTGTTCCGCCGGGATACACAATAATTCGCTGCGACCGCGCGGATGGAAGAAAGCAAGGAGGCGCGTGTCTCGTGGCCACACCGCGTTTAGAGCTGCGGCGAGTGGCGAGTCCGAGTGACGTCAACATCGATGACGAAGTGTTTGAACTGATCAGTGCGACCGTCTACCTGCATAACAGACTTTTATTTCTATTGTGCGTTGTTTACATTCCGCCGAATAGTTGTGAGAATGATTATATGATACTGTTTAGAATAATAGAACAACTGTGTAGTAAATATAGTGATATCGTTGTGATTGGTGACTTCAATATGCATTCCTGTTCTATAAACGTATGTAATTATTTTCAATATTTTTTATCTTACTGTAGATTTACTCAGTGTAACACGATTGTTAATTGTAATGATCGGTGTTTAGATTTAGTGTTAAGTACGCTTACAAAGGGAGAGAGTGTGAATGTGCGCGAGGCAGGGGCGCCTCTCGTACCTGTGGATGCATACCACCCGCCACTGGATGTGTTGGTGAAACTGTGGCCGCGCCGAGTCGCAGGTTCATTCCAGTGCGAATCGAGTACTGTTTCCCCAGGTTGGAATTTCAATAAAGCTGATTTCGCTTCAATGTACGCGTCAATAGGAACTATAGACTGGACTGATATTTATAACCTTGATTTAGAAATGAGTTTAGATTACTTTTATGAAACAGTCAATTCCAAAATAGATGACTGTGTTCCCAGAAAACAGCGATGTCGGGTAAGCTCGAAGTATGTTTACCCCGAGTTTTACACTATTGAAATAATTCGCAACATACGACGTAAGGCTATTCTCCACAAGCTGTATAAGGCAAGTAGGACCAAGAATGATTACGAAGCGTTCGCCCTGTGTAGGAGTAAAGTAAAACGATTAATAAAACTAGCACAAGAGCAACATACTAGCAGGGTTCAAAGTCAGCTACAAAAAGATCCACAATCCTTCTGGAATTACGTGAACTCCAGAAAAGGTAGTCGAAATACACAAAAGATATTAAAGAACGGGGCAGTGTTGTCTGATGAACAATGTGTGAAAGAGTTCGCCCAGTACTTTCACTCGGTGTATAGTACGATACGACCCGAGTTGAACGTTAATACTGCGATAGAAGGAGCGGGCGATGAGAATGGTGTAGCGCGGGTTCATCTAGATAACTTACAGTTGGGGGATGTGCGGAGTGCGCTTAAACAGCTTAAGCCGAAGAGGTCCGCAGGTCCGGATGGCATTCCGGCGTACATTCTCAAAGACTGTGGATCTGTGCTGGCTGAGCCGTTACTCCATATCTTCAATAGATGTCTGAGCGCGGCTGTGTTTCCCAAGAGATGGAAAACTACTCGTGTCGTACCGATACCGAAAGGAGGAATAGGCAACGACAATGTTAGTGGGTACAGACCCATTGCGGTACTGTCGTCACCGGCTAAAGTGTTAGAGTGTGCTATTCATAACAGCCTTTTTATGCAGGTGAAAGCACAACTTTCAGATGCCCAACACGGGTTTCGACCAATGAGGAGCACTACCAGCAACTTGCTCAGTTACATGGCTCACTTGCTGCCGACAGTGGATAGTGGAGGGCAGACTGACGCTGCTTACTTCGACTACAAAAAAGCATTTGACCTAGTCGATAATGACGTGTTGCTCAAGAAGTTAGCAGCTGTTGGTTTCACACCACATCTACTTAATTTTTTTGCCAGTTATATGAGGGATAGGCAGCAGTACGTAGAATACGCGGGACACAGATCGGAGCCGTATTTTACGTGGTCTGGTGTAAGTCAGGGAAGTAATCTCGGTCCTCTGCAATTTATAATCATGATGAACGATTTGCCCAAAGTCGTTAAAGAGGCAAATTGTTTAATGTTTGCAGATGACCTTAAGTTATCTCTGACTGTGAAGGAAGAAAGTGACTGTGGACGGTTACAGAATGCCATTAATAGTGTAGCTAATTGGAGCAAGGAGAATCTTTTACAGTTCAACATCAAAAAATGTGCTACAATCACGTTTTCACGTGCACATAGGCCTATTGTACATAGTTACAACATTGATGGAATGCCAATGGTCCGGGTCACAGAAGTTAAGGATTTAGGAGTTACTCTCAACGCGGGGCTAACGTTTCGTGATCACATTACTAAGTGCTGTAAAAAGGCTTACAGAAATTTAGGGTTCCTTTTACGAACTGTTCGTACTTTCACAAATGTAGCAGCCATTATCGCCTTATACAACGCTTTAGTGAGAAGCCAATTGGAATGCAACGCAGTCATCTGGGCTCCGCATGAGACTAAATATAGTCTCATGTTGGAGCGGATACAAAACAAATTTACTAGGTTTTTATATTTTAGGCTATATGGAGTGTATCCTTTTTATCCTATTATGTATCCAACTTTGTTTGTGTTGGGCATGGTGGGATACAACGAACTACGAGTCAGGCGGGAGCTCACGCTTGTGTCATATTTATTTAAGTTAATTAGGGGTAAGGTACATCACGCAGATATATTATGTTTACTGTGTTTGTGTGTGCCGGACAGATATGTGTGGCGACGACGTCGGCCTCACCTGCTGGCCGTACCTCGTGGTCGCACTAATTTATTGAACGAGGCGCCGCTGACACGGGCACTTCGCACTCTCAACCTTGTAGCAGAGGAGACAGATATTTTTATTTGTACGCCAAATGAGTTCACAAGGATAGCATTATATGTTATTTGTTATAAGTAGGTATTTGTTATAAGTATATATATGTTTACTGATGTGTGCTTCACTATCGAATTAGGTAGTAACCTGTAATGATAGTTGTAAGTTGTGTTTTAAAAAAAAAAAAAAAAAAATTTCGGCCCTATTTGCAAAAGGCAAGTATCAAAAGACACCGCACCGCTGGTAAAAAATATATTATATTAAAAAAATTAGGCCATGCTGCATCAATTGCTTATGGTATTGAAAATGAGCAGCAAGCATTGCACAAGATACAACAACAAGAAAACGTGTCTATTGAGCCCTAAGGACTGTTTATAGATAATGATTTTCCATTCATTGGTGCTACGCCAGATGGGCTCATTGGAAATGACATTCTAGTAGAAGTCAAATGTCCTTTTCCAGCATCAAAAATTGGCATGAAAAAAGCAATTGAAGAAAATAAAATACAAATATTAAAATTTAATAAAAAACGCGCACTGCAACACTTAATAAAAATAGTAATTGGTTCTACCAAATCCAGGGACAATTGCATGTGACAAGACGACAGCAATGTCTACTTGGTATTTGGGCCGGAGAAAAAAGAGCCAGTCCACATCGAAATAATTGAAAAAGATGACGTATTTTGGAAATCGAACATGGAGTCCAAATTAATACAGTTTTACCATAAATGCCTACTTCCTGAAATCGTGAGTCCCAGACATACGCGTGGTATGGGCATAAGAAATCTGACACTTGAAGAAAACAAATCATCCGAAAATAAGGAAAATGAGGAACCTCTAACACAAAACAGTCCCGATTTGTTATCAGATGCTAGTCCCCAACACGGAGGGGAGCGCCATGAGGACTGTGGCTTTGACCCTCTAAGAGGAGACTCACGCCCAGCATTAAGGAATATACCGGTCGATGAAAATGAACCTGGACCTAGCACACGAGAACTAGATTTTATTGAATTTTAATTTTTAGTTGGCTTTTTTTCAATTTTTATTTTCCTCTATTATTAAAATTTAACCCAAATTTTATTTTAATTTTTTTGTAAACGATTATAAAGAAGCCTTTTCAAGCTTTTTTAGGATTTCGTAGCCGAATGGAAAAAACCGGAACCCTTATAGATTCGTCATGTATGTCTGTCCGTCCGTCCGTCCGTGTATCACAGCCTTTTATTCCGAAACTATTCGGACTACATATTTGAAACTTAGTAGGTAGATGTATTCTGTGAATTTCGTTTCTATACAAAAATAAAATACAAAAAAATTATAAGTACAAAAAACAACAAAAAATGTACAAATAAAAAAAACTAAATAAAAATTGATCAAACGAAAACAAAAAGTCTGAATGGGGATTCGAACCCGAACCTTTCTTCAGCGTAAACTTCATAGGCCGACACTATAACCGCTCGGCTACGTAACAATAGCGGCGAAATTACGAAACATACTGCGCGGGTAAATCTTTATGCGTGAAAATAGGGCGAAAACGGGCGAAAACGATTTTTCCCAGACATGAGACTAGATCGATTTTTCGTCCCCGTAAACCCCTAAATTGAAACTTTCATGAAATCGTTAGAGCCGTTTTCGAGAACTCATTTAAATATATATATATATATATATATATATATATATATATATATATATATATATATATATATATATATATATATATATATATATACAAATATTGCTCGTTTAATAGTATAGGATAAGTAGTTAATTTATTTATCAACAACATTCCTAGGATAGCTAACAAAATCGAACTACTGATTAATTTATACTGTGGCGTGCTCGCCCGCCTCCATAGGTCACCGAAGTTCATGTCGCGCCGGCTCCTGTGCAACGCGGGCGTGAGCCGTCTCAGTGCGTAAAATGCCTAAACTTTCGGGAAAAGGGGCCCTTAACAAAAATAGTGCACGAGGTATAATGCTACAATGCAAACTTTTAGTGTGGGACGAAAGTACAAGGTCGCATAAAAAACCGTATATCCTTTTTACTGAATACGAGACATTACATCTTAGTCAACGGGAGACAACACATCTGCATTTTAATTCTTAATTCAATACAGATGTAGATGTCTGTGGATCACATCATCCACTTCGTGTATTGTTATTATATATAATAGTACAAATTATTATTCTATAAAAAATACTCCTTTTAGTGTGAATTATGTTACATTTAACGGCACCATTAAATAGAATTGTTTAATTCTGTAATAATAAATCGAGAATCGAACACAGTCGTTGTTCGAATGCGTTTTAATGTTCACATTTCTACAAATTTATTAAAGAGTATTTACAAAGAAGGCAGGCTACGTGTAAAAATTTATAAGATGAAAAATTTGACCGTAAATATTTTTTAATATCTAATATTCAACTATAATTTTTTACTAGGTCTTGCGCCATTCATTTTCACGGAAATATGATTTGTTCGACGTTAAGGATTCGTTTTCCTCCATCGCTTCGTTTAATCAAGCGGTTATTCCATCGCGGTTAATAGAATCGGAAAATCATCAACGGTAAGCCTGCTCATCAGATTAATGGTCGATCAAACAGAGTACTGACGAATTTTTTGCATGGAAAATGACTTCCACTAGATTTTATTACGATTCTTCTTTTTGAGCTCGTACAAGAAGTACAGTGTTGGACCAAAGCCTCTCCCGTTGCAGAGAGGATTACCATGAGGTTATGAAAGCAAAAGAGTGTTTGATTTTGATTTTTGACTTTAAAAAGGAGGAGGTACTAAATTCGACTATATGTTTTGTTTTTGTGTGAGCTTTTTTCCAGGTGAACCGATTTTGATGATTCCTTTTTTATTTGATAGCTGGTTCTTTTGTGTGTTCCCATATAAATTTGATCAATAATCATTCCTGAGTTATCCCTAATATTGGTAATATTATAATAATTTAAAAATTTTACCATTTTATCTTTAATTTTATAAAAATTAAAGGTATAAATTTTTACGTGGTAGGGTCATGCTGCAGTTATACTAGTAGTATCTTTGTAGCACAAATTGGTAGGCTCACCCGGAAAGGATCACGCTCTCACAAAATACCGGCGTAAAATAGCAGCACAACGCTGCTGTCTCTCGTGTGGTGAGTACAGAGAACCGGAGCCCCGTTTTACTGCAAAAGAGGCATTCTATCTCAGTCTTCGCGGGTGACAATGCATCTGCATTTTGATTCGTAATCGAGGATAGATGTAGGTGTCTATGGGCCACAGCAACCACTTACCATCAGGTGGATATTGTGCTAGTTTTTCATTCTTATCCCATAAAAATTGACTTCGAACATATTGAGGTGTTCTCATTTTATTTATATGCGTATTGAAGCCGGTTTAACCTTTTTTTTTAATTTTAACACTTGTAAACTATGAATGTTCCATTTAACATTTGATTATTATAACGCTGCTTTCAGAAAGTTATACAATTTCTACGTTTTACGTTTATAGTATGGTCAATGATTAGATCAAAAATATTTATTTAATCTGATATTCTATATAAGCTGGATAAGCTCAGTAGTAACATTGCACATTTACTGCTTCTCGCGCCGAACACCTTGCACGGCGGGAGAGATCCTTTACCTTTCACTCACAAATGTTTCATTTATTTCAAAATCCACGTGGTTAAAGTTGCGGGATAGAAGCCATTATTTTATAAGATTATTACGTAAAACTGATTCTTCTAATCATGTGCCGCCAAAAATAAGTTCATCATTATATCATTTATAAACAGCCTGTACATGCGAACTCGACACGTCAAGCCAGGCAGGCAAATAACGCCACCGAGAGCAAACCGGTTTTTTGACTGTACGGGGAGCGCGACTCAATGCGTGCATCACAACATTATGATGTATGACATAATTATTAGGCATAATAATTATCATGCTATGTATGTTGATGGCATCGGTATACGATAAAGCTGTATAGCTTATGTTTATACTGTATGTATTATGTTTATACTATAACCCATCTAAATATTGTAAAATTATTATAAAATATTTAGAAAAAAAAAAGTAAAATGCCACTAGCAGTGAAATAATTAAAAACACAAGAATAATATTAAATGTGTACTCATATCAATCGCTGCCTATGTAGAATTATGAGCCTCCCATAAAAAGGCGTGTGGCGAACATCCGATAGCTATAACATACAGAAAAGCGAATAAGAATGGTTTTACTGCCGTCTTTCAGAAGTCGTAAGATTTTTCTGGTATTCGCCATGGAATGATCCCTTTATGGTGGAACTTCTTATACTACAGCTTAAGTAAAATATGTTTTGGTAATACTTAAGTTACGCCACACACATATATATATATATATATATATATATATATATATATATATATATATATATATATATATATATAATATTTATTTATTTTTAAATAGACTTTGTGTACAACAAGGTTTGTAGAATCAAGCTAGAATTTCCACATGAAAGCTGTGAGTGTGGTTAAGGAAAATTTATTATGGTGTTTGTTACATAATGAAAACAAATGTTGGTTTAGACCACGGAGTTTTGGCTGTGAAAATAAATTAAGTTACCTCCCAAGCAAGCTCTCATATTTTATCGCAACGAATATCTGCGCTATTTATATACATATTTTGGTTTTTTCTCATGCAATATTGAGACATCGGTCCTGTAGGTATCTCTAAATTTATAGATTTAGTTATATATCAAATGTTAAATACTGAGATAGACATTAAAAGAAAAACATTCCTAAATTCAAATCAAATTAATTCTTTACCGACTATATCGAAGTTAGTTATCAAATACAGTTTTCTTAAAGAAAAGTAAAACATGCGCCTCATCAGAACTACGAAGAAATGCTACAAGTGTTAAAATATAATATAAAGTTCATTTAATATAAATAAAAATTAATTAGTTATTATATAGTCTTGCTCTATATGTACTTTGGCTGTATTCCAAAAACTAGTCAGCTGTCGGTTGCAAACGGCAGTTCCGTTAATTTATAAATTGTTGTCAATAACAGTAAGCTTTAACCTGAAAAGCTAAACAAAATATTGTATTAACTCTACTGTAGTCCTACTCTAAACTATAGTCGTATAAAATGGGTATAGGATGGAATTTGATGCGGCAATATCCATTCGGCGTGGAACCTTAAGTTATTTTTAGCTATTATAAGTAATTGCTTGGCTACTGTCCCGCCTGATGAAGCAGCCGAAGATCGCTAAGCACACTTGCTTAATTTAACCAATGCCTATTCGCTTTGGCCTAAAGAAACACACATTGTAAATAGATGAAAGTTGATGCTGGAAAATTATTAACCTCTCAACCCCCTAGCGGTCTCATGAGACCGCGGTATTCCGGCAAACCCCGAGCGGTCATATGAGGTCGCACCCACCCACAGCACTTTAATCCATAAAAACATATATAGAGACTATTTTTCTATGAAGAATTTTGGCATTATATAATCAATATGAAATACTCTATCCTGTACGCAGTAAGAAAACTGTAATCCTATGAACATTTATTTATAATCTACGTTCATTACATTCGCCATTTACGCGTGAATGTTATTGTGTCACTGACCTCTATATATACACATGCTTCAACGAATTTTTTGTAGTATTGGGTGACAAACAAGCACACAGTCCACCTGATGGTAAGTGGATGCTATGACCCATAGATATACATATTTATCCTCAATTAAGAATCAAAACTGCAAATGCGTTGTCACCCCTGAGGACTAAGATGGAATGCCTCGATTCCAGTAAAAGGGGTCTCCAGTTCTCTACACTCACCATATTAAACACATCATAATTACGCTGCTATTTTACGCTGGTATTCTGTGAGAGCGTGGTCGTGCCCTGGTTGAGCCGACCCATTCGTGCTACAACTATATATAGATGTAGCATGGCTCTACCACGTACAAAAAGTTACTATAGAAGAAACAGTCCAAAAAGTTAAAGCCGAGTCACAAAATAAGAAAACAAACATAATATCACAAAATTACGCACAGCAAGCTCTCAATACAGAAACAGAAACTTTTTTAATATAGATTAAGAATAATATTCTTAGCATTATGGAAAAACTGTATGCTAAGGTACTGATTGAAAGGGTCATGAAAGAAACTGATGGAAAAATTTGGGATGTGCAAGCGGGCTTTAGAAAGGGAATGGGATGTACAGATCAAGTCTTTTCCATGCGCATGATCGCGGAGAAGTTTTTGGCCCAAAACCAATAGGTTTTTTGTGCGTTCATGGACTTGGAAAAGGCCTATGAGTGAGTGGATAGGTTTGAGCACTGGCTTGATACAGGCATTGGAGTCTCTTCATAGGGACTCTAGTGCTTGTGTTAGGATCAACGGGGTCTACTCGGACTGGTTTGACATCCATAAAGATGTCAGACAGGGCTGTGTGGCTTCCCCGTGGCTGTTCAACCTATTTATGGATAGTTGTTTGCAAAATTTGAAAGTTGAAGAATGCGGATTAAGAATGGGTGAGTTAACCGTCAAATGCCTTTCAAATTCAAATTCAAATTTATTTAATTGCCATAAATAGGGTAAGTGATAGGTTTTTTACAATAAAAATAAGTTGCTTAAAGACCTATTTAGCCATGAGATACGGCATGCAACTGTTTTTTTTTTAAATTACCAAATAATATAGCTGGTAGTCGATTCTAAAATGTCAAGTTATTAAATGTAAGTTATATAATTCAAAATGTCATAATTTACTATATCAATATCATAATTAAAATTTAAATACAATAAATCAAAAATAAAGTTCTGATAAAACAGTGATACGCAGTAATACGCAGCAATTACGTCTATCACATGTCAACATGCATATTCACTCATGAATATCATTTTGAAATTCTTTAACACTATAATAACATTTTCTTATTAGCCATTCACGTAACTTTTTGGTCATGAGAATCATAGAGCCGTGTTTGAACTGCCTTGGAATTTTATTAAATATTTTTACACACATACAGTAACAACCTTTCTGATAGACAGAAGTTTTTGGTTTATGGTCTAAGACAAGCCGTTTGCTATCTCTAGTGCTTCGTGGATATACATCACAAGCTGACTTAAATAACTCTGCATGTTGTTTGACAAATTTATATATTTCCAATATGTACATGCCAGGGACTGTTAATATACCCAGCTTAATAAATAGGGGCTTGCATGTATCAAGTGGTCCTTTATCGCATATAGCACGTATGCATTTTTTTTTGTGCGATGAGAACTCTATTTGCTTCAACGCTGTTGCCCCACAGAACCAGACCATAATTAATATTAGACGCGACGTAACCATAATAAGCAGACATAGTTACGCTAAGAGTCGTTATCTTAGTTAAACGCCTTAAGACGAAAGCAAACCTATTAATTTTATTACAAACTTTATCAATGTGGCCAGTGAAATTTAAGTTCTCGTTAAGTACTACACCCAAAAATGAGACCATGGTAGTCCTTTCAATAGGTATGTTTTTGTACAGCACATTAAGATTATTTGCTGCTCGTCCTTTTATGTTAAAATTTATGAAATTTGTCTTATTCAGATTTACATTTAGATTAATTAATTTAAGATATTGGACTATATTATTAATTGTGTTATTAATGTCATTTTCATAATTATTTAAATTGTCATTATAATTTGATTTAACAGTAATGGAAATATCATCTGCAAACATTATGCATTGATGTTTAGTCAATCTCGGTAAGTCATTTATATATAATAAAAACAATATAGGACCCAGAACGCTACCCTGTGGTACTCCAAACTTATTTATTTTATAATTAGAACGATCGGATGTAGTTGTATTTCTCTCGCTTATTCTATTTATTTCTACGCATTGATGTCTATTTTCTAGATATGTTTTAAGCCAAGAGTGAGAAAGACCTCTAATCCCATACTTTTCCAGTTTATCTAACAAGACATTGTGAACTACAAAATCGAATGCCTTAGACATATCGAAGAAAAGTACAGTAGTACGCTGTTTATCATCGAGTCCAAGAATAACGTTATGTATTAGATTAAAGCACGCGAGGGTAGTTGATTTTCCCTTTTGGAACCCGTTTTGCTCCGGTGTAATGATTTTGAATTTCGTTAAATAGTTGAGCAGTCTTTTTTGCATGGCCTTTTCAAATACCTTTGATAATACCGGTATTAATGTAATTGGGCGATAGTTACCGATTTCAGATTTATTCTGTTTTTTGTGGATAGGTTTCACGATCGAGAATTTAAGAGCCTCAGGAAAGCATCCTGTTTCAAAGGATAAATTAATTAGGTATGTTAATACCTGGGCTAGTTCGTTTTTACAGAATTTTAACACTTTTGTTGAGATTTCATCATACCCACATGAGCTAGAATTGTTTAGTGATTGTATAATACGAGTAGTTTCTGTTGAATTCACCGGTTCAAGAAAAATTGACTTTGATATATGATTGATCGTTGATAGTATCTTTCGCTTTTTGTCCATATCATATATATACCTTCCATCAGTTAGGTTTACGTAGTAATCATTAAACAGTTCAGCTATTTTTGCCCCATTTGTTATTATACTATTTTCGTATTTCATATGTGTAATGTAATTTTGTGGGGGTTCGCTTTCCGTTACATCTTTGATGAGTTTCCATGAAGCTTTACAAATATTCTGACTGTTCTGGAGATATTTGATATTGCAATTTTTTTGGGCTATTGATATGCACCTCTTAAGCATTTTTGAATACCTCAAGTAAGCTTCTCTGTCCTCGTTAGTTTTTTGTTTATAATACTTGAAACGCAATGATCTTTTAGTTTTTATGCAAACTTTTAATCCCTTGGAGATCCATTTTGGCTTTGAATTTTTATTGGTAATTTTAATTTTTAATTTCGGAAAGCAAGATTTATAAAGTGTACAAAAAAGATCATAGAATCGATCGAATGCTGCATTCATGTTTTTTGCGTTGTAAACATCTGAGAAAGATAGTGACTGTAAGTAGCCACGAAACTTTAGAAGATTTTCATTGCAATAGTCTCTCTTGTATAAGAACCAATATTGTAGACTATGAGTATTTTCTATTGAGAATGACAATATTTGGGCAGTATTGTGATCAGATAGATGAAGCGGCATTATCACGCCCTTAGCTTGTTTAATATTACTTAAAATGTGGTCTATACAATTATTTCCTCTAGTAGGTTCATTTATGTGAATTTTTAAATTAAAGTATTTAGCCATATCTTTTAATTGTTGCGATGCTCTAGATTCCACTAATGTATTTATATTAAAATCTCCAGTGATGATAATTTTATATTGTGTAAATGTCTTTAACAGTTCATGGGTCACCGCTTCCAGCCTCGTTAAAAATGAGTGAGCAAATCTATTGTGAGAGGTGTAAACACATAATATCATTACTTTGTATTTAGGGATTCTTATTCCGCAGCACTCAAATACTTCTGGTAATAAGTACTTGTCAAAAATTTTGAGTTCGTTGCAAGTAAGGCCCTTCTGCAGAAAGATGCAGGTACCACCACGTTTATTATTCCTAGAATAACTTGCTGTTTGTTTGTAATTTGAGAGAGTAGCATTTTTCTCCTCACCTTTTTTTATAAATGATTCTGAGAAGCATATTACATCAGGTTCTGAATCACAGTCTTTCAGTTCAGAGAGCGTCACTTCTAAAAGGTCCTTTTTTGAGAGCAAACCCGCTATATTTTGATGCAAAATAATAACACGTTTTTTGTTTAGGTCTTTAACACATTGATTGGAGGATGTTTTTGGGTTACTGTGTGGAACGAAAAAGATAATTTTGCCGTAAGGGAAAGAAAAAGTCTAATATGGAAGTCTGCTTGTGTCTATATCCACAATTTGTCAGTTTTTGTTGTGATTTCTTTAACACTTTTCCGTTACATCCGCTCTTCTGAACATGGTTCTTGATAAAAGAATAGTTTAGAAATGTTTTCTCGTAATACAAAGAATCAATAAACATGTTAATACTATGACAGGCGTTCTTTAAATAACAATGATAATATTTTTTAGTTTCAATAAAGTGACTATTTTTAAACTTTTTACATATTAATTTTAATTGCGTGTTTAATGAATTATTATTTAAATGCTTACTACTAGTTACATTCATTACAATAACGGTGGCATGCTTTAGTAATTTCAAAGCAGCATATAATTCCGCTATAGCTGTTACCGGATCATCATCGTTTTCTCCTACACATAAAATTACCTTATCGTGTGTGTCTACCTTTAAACTGGTACATAGCTTTAGGACTTCTTCCGTAGATGCAAATGGCTTGATGAACGCTGTTACTTGGTAGTCCTCGTATCTGCTATTCATTCTTGACTTAGTGAGTTCTGCCGCGAGACCAATGCACTGTTGCGTCCCCATAATGAAGATATTCTGTTTGGTGAATGCATTATTTTTTTTATTGTTTTCAGTTTTGTCGCGAGATGTAAGCTGTTCTTCATGCCTTTGAGTAGTGAGCTTGATACTAAGTTCTTGTATTTGATTCTCTAGCTCGGTAATCTCTTTTTTGGCATTCAACAATTGTTCTTGCGATTCTTTTATCTTGTTTTGTAAGGAAATTATCAAGTTGTTACATTTTTTATCATATTTCTTTGAAGAAATTGGAGAAAAGTGTGATGAATGGCTATATTTAGAAGTGTTTGAGGGGGTAAGTGAGACGTGAAATCCCTTATTTATCTCATTTGTGCCTTTAATTATTGGAGATTGACAGATGTTCTTTAGAACCTCAATTTCCTTTTTCAATTTATTTATTTCTCTTTTGTATTCATTGTTTTCTATTATCGTATTCTCTAACTCATTTTGTGTACTCGAGAGATTAATTTTTAATTCTTTAATTTCTTCCTTCATTTCCTGCATTTCGCATATTTTAATAGTTGAGTAATCTTCACTCTTTGAGAGCATTTCCAAGGAGGATTCCTCTAGTTCGTCGCATTCTTCTTCCGTATCGATCCCGCATGAATCAAGCAGAGGAGATGATATATCTACAACTGATTCCGATTTAGGTGACGCAGTTTGTTTAGCTGCTGAGACAGTCTTTTTTCTTAATGTGATTTTTTTATATTCCGTGTGTGAACGTGTAGATTTTAATTCTTTTTTGGTTTTTTAAGCGGATTTTGCATTTCCACGCAGCTTTTTTTTCTGCTTGCATTAAACGATATAGCTTTTCTGACAAGCCAATACAATGAAAGTCGAATCTTTTTTTGCACTGCGTGCATAATATCGTATCTCTTGCCTCTCTGTTACATTTGCATTTATCACATATAACAGACTGATATCGGCTAGTTTTCATGTCATTATTACCCCTCTGGGTGACAGGCGTGAGTGTTTATGTAATTATGTATGTATATTATGAATAATACTTATTGAAATTCACTTTTTTCATTTACCAAGCAAGAAACCCAACGGGACTAGGTTTTTTTTTAAAAATAAGTCCTTACAATCATGCGTGTTACAATTAACAACACAAAACCAATTATAAATATCTTGGTAGCGATCACCCTTTTCATACAAACTTAAATAAAGTTTTTAAACTAAGTGTACTTACGTCAAATTTTGTATATTTTCTTGCATTTTGTTATAGAAGCGTATACATCGCCTCAAAAATGAATCACTGATTCCGTGGAGTCGAGTAACTGGTATCAAAATGGCGGGATATTGTAATTATGTAGTGGTTATTTTAGCACGGCCTTGTATATGAGTTTTGCCTACAAAAATTTACTTTGACAAAGTGAAAAAATAAAGAAACTTGTTTTATTCATGATTCATGTAATTAAGGAATTTTTACATTTAAGAATTTAATGTTTCGATTATTAGAATATTTTTACCGATTATTTAATTATTTTGCCGATTATTCGCTTAACAATGAATTTTAATCATCCAAACACTACGGTATTAAACATAGCGACATGTCATTGAAACGACGTCAAGTAAAAAAAGTTAATACTGGTTATTTTTTTAATATTTTGCTTTGTTTGAAAAATTCAAATTTAAATTAGTGATAAAAAACCATACACTTTGTAATGAAATGTAGATTACTTCATAATTCTTCGGATTTACGTAAATGGTTATTTTAAATAGTGTGAGTACGCTTATGCAATGTTATTGCGGAATGATTAATGTGAAACGTCAAAAGGTATTTCTTAGATTTGGTTGACTATAGTAACAAATTTTTAAATATATATATTATCAAATGGTTTTAATTTGTTTAATATTAGCTGCAAATTCACTTATGAAATGTTATACAACTACCCTTTTGGTAACGAGTTTTACAGATTACGCACACTCTCATTATTAATAAAAACAATTCTTATTATGTAACTAATATTATACACAATCAAACAACATAAAATACTTTCATTTTTAGTTTAAAAGTTCAAAATACAGACTTATTAAATAAGACAATTCGAATAAGACAGACAGACTTTGGCATATTATGTCAATTTTATTTTTCAAGACATCCTTTAGCGGCGCTTCAAATTGGCACAGCCAGTTTTTATGGTATAGCCAGTCCAGCGTACTTGTATATATAGAGGTCAGTGTATTGTGTAGCTTTTTGGATTTTTCTAATGTTTTATTAGTGTTTTAGTATAATGTTTTATTATAAAATTGTAAGGAAAATTTTTGTGTGAATACAATTTATCTTTTTACGTAAATAATTTCGACGAATATATATAAAGAAAAGTAGGCTCTATATATAAGTTTGCGGTGTCTCACCCCGTGCCTCGGAAAGCACGTAAAGACGTTGGTCCTGCGCCTGATCTCTCTCCGGTCGTGTCAGTTTACCGTCCCATCGGATTATGAGTGTGAGGGAATAGAAAGTGCATCTGAGCTTGCGCATACACTTAGGCACTATTACCGTGCCCTGCGCCGATAGCTAGCCTCTGTTGAGGCAGGCCGCCGTGGCCGGAATTAGGTCTGGAGGTCATATATATATATATATATATATATATATATATATATATATATATATATATATATATATATATATATATATATATATAAAGAAAAGTAGTCTATATATATAAGTTTTTATGCGTTAAAGTGCTGTGGGTGGGTGCGACCTCATGAGACCGCTAGGGATTTGACGGACGCATGAGACTGCAAGGGATTTTTATGGCGCTTGATGTACCCATTGCTCCTTTGATGTACCCATTACGAACGATGAAGAAAACCGTTTGAATCGAATGCAGGTATTTCGATAACAAAGGTGTGGAGACTAGCCGAGCATCTGGTTGTTGGATGATGAAACGGAGAGGGAGGAATTAGTTTTGCGCTTTGTTGTTGGCCAGTTAGATCTAAACTTGTATTAAATTTTGGTGAAAATTATTCACTTCAAATTATAATGTTCTTCAGGCAGTTTTTGATCAAGGAGTACGGTCTCAATGGAGACAAATCTATATCTGTTCAACTCGTACATTATAATAATCCAGTCCAATCATTGCATTGGGCACGGATGCACTATCTAATTTGTCACTCTCGTAGAGAACGAAGAGAGTTGAGGCGCAAGATCAACGGCTTCTTGGGCTTTCTGAGACACGTGAAACATCACCTACTTCCTGAATCTGGGATGCTACTGAGAATTTCTTGACCTAAAACCCTATAACTGGTTTTGACTCAGCCCTGTTTTTAACCGGGACCACAATATCAACAGTCGCGTTTACGAACACTAAAGAAACTCTGCAGTCGATCCAATTAAAATCTGTTGTTGCTATAAAGATTGGGTAGTTAGTACAAATCTTCCTAATCCATATTTATGTTATTAGAGACATATTCTGTACACTGCCCTGGCACAAACGCAAATAGTTCAGTGCTTATAGCTGCTGCATTGTTGTTGCGAGGAAATAACTATTGCGTTTTATATTTTATCCAAGAGTTTATAATTAATGTTTTAATTTCATTACGCACAAATTATACGAGGTCTTGTAGTGATAAAACTGTACAACAAAGGTTTTCATGTCATGTGTTCTAAATTTTTCTATACATATAAAATTGAAGTGTTTGTATGTAATATCGAAACAACTGCCTTATATTGAGCTAAGGGGCTTATTTGCTTGCAATTAAGGAATAGATATTATAAAAATGTTGTTATAAAAAAGTTTTGTCTGTCTGTCAGCCTATCTGTCCACAATAATCTTTGGAATAGCTAAACTCATTATAATGAAACTCACGAAAAAATAGTTATAAAGCAATGCCAGGAGTGATCTAGGCTATATTTTATCCGAAATACTTGGGGATTATTAAAAAAAATGAAAAATAAATGGTTTTTGATTATCTTAAATCTAAATAACGCGACATTTTGCAGATTCCACCTAAGCAAAGCTAAGGCAGGTTACTCGTAACTATAGAGTAGTGTAATGCGAGAGTAACTGTATAAATAGAATTATAAATAATGTGTGGAAAATACCACTGACTGACTGACTCATCACGAGATCTTTTAAACCGTACAGCAAATTGACTTGAAATTTAGTATAGCTCATTTCGCAATGAAGACGCTCGCTAAGAACGGATTTTATGATAGTACCATAATTTTTTTTATATTTTACATCCGTGCGCATAGCGAAACTAGTGGGTATCAGCTAGTGATTTCACAAAACTGACAAAACTTACATCAATTAAAAAAAAATACAAACACACTTGGCAAACTAAATGACAGACATATAGTGACTTTTTCTTTAGTTTTCTCTTTTTATAAATACGTCTGGCTCTCTACTTTTCAGACCGAAAAAAGCATCGCAGACACTGCTTCATACTAGTGGAAGTAAATGATAAAGCGGTACCTACCCAGATGGACTCCTAGGTAAAACCGGAGTCCTACCACCATTATCTATCAGCCTAGGCTATTGGACTGTTCGAATCACTTGAACTCAATAGGATGGGCTGAGCATATGTAGCGCTTTTCAATAAAGTTTTATTCATCAACCCTCAGCTGAAAAATTGTTTTTGTTTAAAAAACTGAAATGACAAACAAACTAAGTTTGTCGCGTGGTAAGTGGTAGTCCATGAACATCTGCAGCAGACTTCGAATAAAGAAGGCCACAACTGCGTAGTAACCATATCTTTATTTACTTTACACAAATAATAAAAGTATAATTAGACATTTATTAGAAGCTATAGCGATCAAAGATTTAGAAATAATTTGAGTGTAAATTTTGACCTTATTTCTTATTTTTCTTTGGTAACAAAGCCAACAAGAATAAATGTGTGAAGAATATTGTTGTAAAAAGATTTCACTCTTTTAAATTTAGATAAAAACTGCTCCGAAGGCGGGTATGGATTTACATATTAAATACGTCTTTCAGAAAGAGGTGAATAGGGTCCGCATTTAAGAGGCCAAGACATGTAAATAATATCCTGTATCCCTGGGGCAATGATTTAGAAACGCTTTTCCTCTACTGCTAATTGAAAAAAAAAGTGAGTCAACAATCAACATGCAATAATATAACTCTTAAATACCCATATAAGATTAGATAACGACAAAATAACGGTTATAAAAAATCTTCCTAGTTTGTAATTAATATGTCTGTGTTTCAACTCTCCTGTTTCTGTACCTGTTGTTGTACAATTACCACTACAAGTTAACTGCCTAATTGTACCACAAACTGGCTTAACACTTGCACACTTATGTAACGATATCTCTTTTCGTCTTAGATGACGTCCTTAAACAAGAGCAGGGAGCTTGTTCCTAGCTTTTATAGCCATGTAACGAAAGTACAAATTATTACTTAGTGTGAAAAATGATTAAGTTGTGAATGCAAATTTAGTCTTCGTTAATTTATTTCTTTTAACAAAATATTGTGTTAACTTTAAAAGCAAATGGAACTAAATGTCACTACACTGTCTGTCTACACAGATGTAAAAAGAATAATCAAAAACAGTCCGAGATTCCATTTCGAGGCCTGTAA